TAGTATTAATTTTTTTTTTTTATTATCACACTGGCCGATTCCCACCAAGGAGGGTGGCCCGAAAAAGAAAAACTTCACCATCATTCACTCCATCACTGTCTTGCCAGAAGGGTGCTTTACACTACAGTTTTAAACTGCAACATTTACCCCCCCTCCTTCAGAGTGCAGGCACTGTACTTCCCATCTCCAGGACTCAAGTCCGGCCTGCCGGTTTCCCTGAACCCCTTCATAAATGTTACTTTGCTCACACTCCAACAGCACGTCAAGTATTAAAAACCATTTGTCTCCATTTCACTCCTATCAAAAACGCTCACACATGCCTGCTGGAAGTCCAAGCCCCTCGCACACAAAACCTCCTTTACCCCCTCCCTCCAACCTTTCCTAGGCCGACCCTACCCCGCCTTCCTTCCACTACAGACTGATACACTCTTGAAGTACACTGTTTCGCTCCATTTCTCTAATGTCCGAACCCACCTCAACAACCCCCCTCAGCCCTTGGGCAACGTTTTGGGGAAACCCCACCTCCCCTAAAATTCCAAATACGAATTCTTGCATTATATTCACCTACACATTGCCCTGACTGCTCTCCCCGCCTCCAGCCTTCTCCTCGCTGAAAAATTTATCACCATGCTTCAACCTTAAAAAGGGTTGGTAAAACTTTAATCTATACATTCCCCCCTTTGCCTCCCGGACAAGTTTTTGTCTCCCAGACTCTAAAGGGACCCTCCCCTTTTCCCCATCAAAATTTTATGATTTACTTCATCTTTATAGACCCCTCCCTGACACGTCCTCCCCAAAAAATCTGAATACTTCACCCCCCTCCAAATCTCTCCCCCCAATCTGTATCCAAAACTTTTTATCGCCCTAATCTTTTTGTTATCCTCATAACCTTACTCTTTCCTGTATTTCACCTTTAATTTTCTTCTTTTGCACACCCTACCAAAAATTTATCCACCAAAACTGAATGAGATAAAAAACTCCTCTATTTAAAAAAAAAAATTTAGGAGTTTTTATCTCCTTCAGTTATTACTGAATATATTTATTATTATTATCACACTGGCCCATTCCCCAAGGCAGGGTGGCCCGAAAAGAAAAAACTTTCACCATCATTCGCTCCATCACTGTCTTGCCAGAGGGTGCTTTACACTACAGTTTTTAAACTGCAAAATTAACACCCTCCTTCAGAGTGCAGGCACTGTCTTCCCCTCTCCAGGACTCAAGTCCGGCCTGCCGGTTTTTCCCTGAATCCCTTCATAAATGTTCCCTTTGCTCACACTCCAACAGCACGTCAGTATTAAAACCATTTGTCTCCATTCACTCCTATAAATACACGCTCACGCAGCCTGCTGGAAGTCCAAGCCCCTCGCACACAAACCTCCTTTACCCCCCCCTCCTCAACCCCTTCCTAGGCGCCCCCTACCCCGCCTCCTTCCACTACAGACTGATACACTCTTGAAGTCACCTGTTTCGCTCCATTCTCTCTACATGTCCGAACCACCTCAACAACCCTTCCTCAGCCCTCTGGACAACAGTTTTGGTTAATCCCGCACCTCCTAACTTCCAAACTTACGAATTCTCTGCATTATATTCACACCACACATTGCCCTCAGACAGGACTCTCCACTGCCTCCAGCCTTCTCTCGCTGCAACTTTTATCACCCCCGCTTCACACCCTATAAGAGCGTTGGTAAAACTATACTCTCATTTCATTCCCTTCTTGCCTCCAAGGACAAAGTTCTTTGTCTCCACAGACTCCTAAGTGCACCACTCACTCTTTTTCCTCATCAATTCTATGATTCACCCCATCTTTCATAGACCCCTCCGCTGACACGTCCCCTCCCAAATATCTGATTACGTTCACCTCCTCCCTACTCTCTCCCTCCAATCTGATATTCAATCTTTCATCACCTAAACTTTTTTATCTCATAACCTTACTCTTTCCTGTATTCACTTTTAATTTTCTTCTTTTGCAACCTACCAAATTCATCCACCAATCTCTGCAGCTTCTCTTCAGAATCTCCCAAGACACAGTGTCATCAGCAAAGAGCAGCTGTGACAATCCCACTTTGTGTGTGATTCTTTATCTTTTAACTCCACCCCTCTTGCCAAGACCCTCGCATTTACTTCTCTTAAACCCCCAATCTATAAATATATTAAACAACCACGGTGACTCACACATCCTTGTCTAAGGCCTACTTTTACTGGGAAAAAAATTTCCCTCTTTCCTACATACTCTAACTTGAGCCTCACTATCCTCGTAAAAACTCTTCACTGCTTTCAGTAACCTCCCTCCTACACCTACACTTGCAACATCTGCACATTGCTCCCCTATCCACCCTGTCATAGCCTTTTCCAAATCCATAAATGCCACAAAGACCTCTTTAGCCTTATCTTTAAAAACTGTTCACTTATTTGTTTCACTGTAAACACCTGGTCCACACCCCCTACCTTTCCTAAGCCCCCTTGTTCATCTGCTATCCTATTCTCCCTCTTACTCTTAATTCTTTCAATTATAACTCTACCATTTCACTTTACCGGTACATCGACAGACTTACCCCCTATTTAAATTTTTTCACTCTCTTTTTCCCCTTTGCCCTTTTTACAAAGGAATATGCATGCTCTCTGCCAATCCTAGGTACCTTACCCTCTTCCATACATTTATTAAATAATTGCACCAACCATTTCCAAAACTATATCCCCCCCTGTTTTTAAAATTTCTATCTTTTTTCCATCAACCCCGGCTGCCTTCCCCCCTTTCATTTTACCTAAGCTCACGAACTTCCCCCACATCAAAAGGCCTTCCTCATTACAAGATTTATTCCTCCTTGCCCTATACCGAAATCACAGCTCCCTATCTTCACAACATTTAACAATTCCTCAAAATATTCCCTCCATTTTCCCCAAACCCTCAAACTCCCCCTTTTAATAACTTCCCCTCTCCTTTTTTTTAACTGACAATCCATTTTTTCTCTAGGCTTTTTTTAAAAACTTTTTTAATCTCACCCCAAAAATTTTTTCTTTTTTCAAAAAAATTTGTTGATACATCTCCCCCCTTCTCTTTGCTCTTTTTTTACTTGCTTCCCCACTCTTTTAAAACCTTCTTTTTTCTCCATATTCTCTTTCCCTTTTGATCACTTCTACTTTTTTTAAAACCTTTCTAAATTGTAATTTTTTCCCTTACTACTCTCTTTAATATAATTTCCCACCAACCCTCCTTTCCCCCGCACCCATTTCCCTGAACCAAAAAACTTCTGTAAACACTCTAACACTACTTTTTTAAAAAACCTCCCCATACCCTTCGCCCCCATTCCCTATGCTCTCTTACCTCTATCCTCCAATAGCTGTTTATATTTTCCCCTAACGCCCCCTCTTTTATTTTATAAACCTTCACCCTCTTTTCCCCTGATGCTTCTATTCCCCTTTTCCATCTATTTTTTCTCTCGTGTAGCTAAAAATAAAAGGATTGAATACTGTGGCCCCTCTATAAACAGTACATCCTGAAGTCTACTAAACAGTTTTTTATCTCCCAATACAAAACCCAACAAATACTGTCATTTCGCCCTACTATATCGGTATATTATTTATCCTTTTTTCTTAAAATAGTTTTCCCTTAACTAAACCCCTTTTTATAAAAATTTCAATCAAAGGGCTCCCATTTCTTTTACCCGGGCCCCCCCAAACTTACCTCCCACACCCTCCAAAAGTTTCTCTATTTACATTCAGGCCCCCTACCAAAATTACCTCTCACTTGGTTCAAAGGGGTCTTACTTCAAAAACACCCCTAAATTATTAATTAATAGTGGCTCGGGCCCTGGAGGGGGGAAGGGCAGTAAATCCTGGAATGAGATCAAAATTTCTTTTTTTTTTTTTTTTTCAACAAGTCGGTCCCCCCTTTTCATATTCACAAAATATTGAAAACTAAGATGAGCTCTGATGTGCAAGTTTTTTTTTAAATCATGTAAATAATAAGTGGGAAAGGTGACACAAATCAATTTAAGGGATGGAAAGGAAAAGTTCACACTATCACACGTTTTTTATATGTTCTACTTTAAGCCTAATTGTGAATTTTTTTAATAAGACAAAAACCAACCCCATGACCGTGTTTCAAAAGGGGACTGTGGGTACATAAAACTCACTCTTGAAAAAAAAAAATAAATTTTTTAACTCTTACCTTTTAAAAAATGAAATTGAAAAAAAAACCCTGCAAATAAAATTATCACTAGGAAACGATACCACAAAAAAACATTATTACATACCTTTAAAAGAAAAAAAAATGAAAATATTAACACCCCAATTTAAATAACATAAAAAAAAGATCTTAACCCGACAATCTTGCCAAAAATATTTGAAGAATTGACCTCCAGATTGTGTTGGCTGGCTGCCTCCACCGCCCCCACCCCTGTTATGGGTCAAATTAAAAAAAAAACAATAAAAGACATTCAATGCTTCAGTACTTAATTTATTCTTTCCTATAAAATTGCAGTGAATTCACTGTTCAGAATACGTGGACCCCGCAAACGACACCTCCCAATGCACCAATTATGTAAGTGTATTTAGTAAGTGTGTTTGTAGGTATGTTTTTGGGGTTGAAAGGACTAATCTACTTCAAAATTCCTTTTGGGAAAAAATTCGGTCAGTACTGGCACCCCCCCCAACAACTTCGGGGGTGAAAAAAAATCGTTAACCGGGGTCCCTGTATTTTTTTTGCGCGTGTGTACAAAAAATATTATTAAGCGAAAACGATGTCAGTAACAAACCCGATATACACAAGATGTTCCATGAAATAATGCCCTTGAAAAATTTTTTTTTACTGAGGAACACTATAAAAAATACTGCCTGAATCTCTTAAATTAATAACCTGCCTTTTTATTTTTCCCTTTTTATTCCCCTTAAAAATCCTTTTTCTTGTAATGCAAAAAATCATACATTTTAACCTAACCCCAAAAAGGCCTCCAATAACACTTAAGCAATACCCGAGAGAACATCATCTTCGTCTTTTTTGGTCTTTGGCTTTGTCCTCCTCCTCCTCCACTGAAAAAAAAAAAGTTTTATAACTGTATCACCAAGAAAGTTATTTATTGAATGTGTTAAAAGAATGAATTTTTTTTTTTTAAATTTTTTAAAACACACACACAATGTGTAAGAATAATAACAAAAATTTAGTTTCCTAAGCAGTTTCAATGAATGCAGGGAAAAAGGGTTTCTTTTGGTATCATATATGTCAAACACCCTAATTTTTTAAAAATACTGTACTCAATTTATAGAAAAAAAGTTTTAAGTAATATTTCATACCCTGGGAAAAAGCACGATGACATGGGGGACAGGGTGGGGTTTGGCGAGACTGTAAGACATACAAAAAACTGCGTGGAATAGACAAGGGGGGGGAAAAGGGCAGGGTGTTCCAGAGAGGGGGCACAAAACAAGGGGTCACAATTGGAAGTTAAAAAACCCCGATTAGTTAAAGGGTATTAGAAAAAATTTCTTCAGTCATAGAGTAGCAGGGAAAAGGAATAGCCTAGCAAGTGAGGGGAGTGGGGGTAGGAAAACATAAATAGCTTTAAGATGAGGGTTTTATAATGCATGGGAGGGGGAGAGGACCCAGTAGCACTCGTGAAGAGGTGTGGCCGGAGCGGTTCGACCCCTGAAACCACAATTAGGTGAGAACAATCTTAAAACCAGACCAATTATTGTGGTCACTGAAGCACTACAAAAGGGGAAAAAAACACACCCCCCCTTTTTTCCCCGGGATAATTATTTTCTTGGATTACATGCAGTACCTTTTGATGATCTACTATTTGTCTCTCCAAATACTTTTTTCCCAAAATACTTTTCTTAACTTTTTTGGTTTCCCTTTTTTTTTGCCTAAGGGGATCTTTGGCTTGTTTAATCATTAAAGAATGACCAAAGGAAATTTCCAACAGATTCCTGTTTTCAAAAATGTGATAGGTTCTGCCAGCAGAGCCGAATTATTAGGGAAGCAAAAAAAGGGGTGGGCTGAGCCCGGCCCTCAGGGGCGCGATTCCAGAAATCAACAGGGTGGGAAAAAAAGTGCAGTATTTTCAGTTTACTGTACCAAAAGAATTGAACAGGAAAGTTTCATGATATCTGGCAAAAAATCAGATTAGAAAAAGTTGACACTTCAGAGAAACATATTTGATTTTATTACATCTACAGAGAAGCACAAACCCATAACTGTCTAACAAAGCCCGTGGAGAATGGCCGGGAAAATTTTTGGTAACTTGATGTGCCTAAATTTCTGAAATTCCAGTAAATTTCAGTTTTTAAAAAGGGTTACTGTAAATGCCCTTATGGTTCTCTCCCGTATGTGTCTAACCCAGGGGGCATGGATGTTTTCCCCCCTTGCCTTAGAAACTCATATAAATACCCCTTTGGTGGGGGTTGTAAAATTGTACAACTTCATCATCAAAACCCCTCATTCTTGCTGCCCAAACTAAAAATTTTCAGAAGTAAAAATTATTTGGGACATAAAATTGGAAAATAAATTTTACTTAAGTCATCATTTTGGGAAAGATGATGGCAAGTGTCAGTACTGATAGCCCAAAGAAAGAATGTGGGTAAAAAAAGCTGCTGCCTTCTTTCTCAGGGTTATTGTTTTTTTTCTAATTACCCTACGAACAAAAATAAAAAAAATATAATGGGGAATGAATGATGTGTCTGAAGTCACTGCTTCAAAAATTTAAAAATGTGGGGTTTTTTTTAAGCTTTTCAAAAAAACAAGTTAATACAAAATAAAAAAGTAATGGATAGTATTTTTTTACTATAAAAATGGAAAGCATAAACCAGAAAAGGGGTTTGCAGCACTGCAGCGAGGGGAAAGGGAAAGGGGGGAGAGGCGGAGGTGTTTAAAGGAAGGACATTAGCTGAAAGGATACGTTTCAGTAAAGGTGAAACCCTCGGGGAAGGGGGAACAAAGTATCAGATATACAAGCACAATGCAGCATGCTTAGCAAGTGACGGGAACAGAGAAGAATAATTTACAACATAAAACACCGAAAATTTATAGTCTATTTAAGCATATGAATCAGCAAGTGAAGGGATTGGGGGGGTTGTGTTGACCTACCTTATCAAATTACCGATGTACTGGGAAGCCATACCAGATATCAGATCATTACCAATTCCACCACTACCACCTCCACCACCTTGTCGGCCACTGATGTGAGGACCAAGCGAAAAAAACAAATTTAAATTTGATATAAAACAAGTGGATTTAAAGAAAGAAAGTGCAATGGCCATACACAAATAAGATTTAAACAAAACATTTCTAGAACATAATAAAAATAATAAAATCCTGGCACTTCTCCATCCTGCACTTCAGCATCTGTATAAGAATGCAAGCAAAACAAATTAATACAATTAAGTCATGCAGTAATATCATGCAAAATACACAACAGCTGTCCACTACAGGTAGCATGCTGAATTGTGTGATTTCAGTTACCTGTTAATTCCAGTGTCAAGCATAAAAGGAAAAAATCTTGCTTATTAATGCACTCCTTAGTAATTATTTGTATAGTATCAGAATTATTAGCTACACATATCAGGAATAATATTTTAGTCACATGTAGAATATCAGTTTAATAATTAGAAAAATAACAGTGAGAGTACCCGATCATTCCACTAATCACACTGGAGATGATTCCATTCAAGAAGCTGCTGTCGACCTCACCTCGCTGGACGGCTTTCACTCTCTCATCATTACTCTCCCCACTAAGATTAGATGTTAATATTTGAACTAAACCAATTTAAGCATTAAAACAGACATCTGTAATATTTGTTTGGGACATTTTTGTTAGTAAAAAATGTTCACTGAATATGTAATAATATTACTTTGTTTATACCACTTCAAAATAGCACTGCAGCCAAAACAAGCATTTCTCCACAAATATTTAGCCTTACTAACAAAAATAAAGCATTAAATTTTATTACTGCACATATAGTACACTGTACTTAATTTGTTAAATACAATGTAAAGATAATGGTACATTTTACCTCATTATATTTTGGACGATTTTAGAAGCAATACTGGCGACGATTGGACTATTGGCATTTGCATCATTCGATGGGAGAATTTTTCCATCAGTGTCCTGACTATAGCGATATGGAGACATCCTAAATTATTCCTGAATACTATATTGCACTCATTGTCCTATGCAAATCATATTTGGAGCTATATATCATGTTGTTCTATTTGACCAAATCACATGTCAGAAGGCATTATCAATTATCAAGCTTCCTGATGATTTCCTTGATGACTGAAGAGGTTACTGCTGCCACATTATCATCATTAACACATCAATCTCACCTCCCGGTGCTTGAGGTCGACCCCTAGACAGCCAACCCAAGTACAGCATTTCGCGAATGAAAGTTTAAATGTTCTACACAAAATCTGTAATTCTTTTGTTGCCATATAATAAATCCTAATATTGATCTAAAACATGCATATTATCATAAAATTCATTGTGATTTATATGGTAAATACTACCTATACGCTTGTATGAATATTCCAAGCCTTTGGAGAACTGAACTGCTAATACTTTATCATTATTAATTTTTGTGGAAAAGCGTGAACCCATTGAAATCCATACATTGCTCGAGGTATGAAAGGTAATCACGGTAAAGATCCAGAGAAAAGGTGGGTAGTCCATATTCCCTGGGATAAGAGCCCTTCACCAGCCTTCAAGCACCCCTTGAAGGGTAATTTTAGTTATGTTTACAACACGTAAGAAATATACCGGACATTCCTGACAACAATGGACACAAGCTGATCGTATGGACCTTCCACTGTTGAGGCCAGTCCTCTCTGTGGTAGACTGGCCACTCTCACCTCTATAAAAGGCAGTTTAACTTTGTAACCAAAGACCTTTAAACTGTTCAATGATGACACAAATATTGGTCTAGTACTGTATGCCATTTATTAACCAAAATTCAAATTCTATGCTAACATATCAATTCACAAGATAGGATGAACTTGATCCATGGCAACGAGAATCCTTCACTTGCCATGGGTTTGATCCACACCCATTCTGTGATTTGTTTGCAATTCTGTTTCAATGATTTTCTGCAGCGACTGTTTAGTACATAGTCCATTTTAACAGTAATACTTTAACTGTACAGATAGTCTAAATTAGAATATTTGGAAAATCCAATTCTCTTAATTACGTGATCAATATACCTGAAGAGATTGCAATGACTGACGAGCCATGTTGGAAACAAATCTCCACCACCAGCAGCCATCACATTGGCCACCCTTGTTCCGCTTAGTCAAAGTGAAAGAAAATACTCTCGAAGTGAAAAAACAAGTGAAGCAAAAGTCAAAGGCCTATATAATCTCAAATAACAAAACTGGGTGCGGTGCTATAGGTAATCCTATTACAAATTTAAAAAAAAAAAAAATTACGTGAGCAAATTTATCAAATCAAACAGACCTTGTTCTGTGTACATGTCTGGTGACTTTATTTTCACACATGCAATGAGGGGGATTCTAATATTGGTAGGTAATTATTGGAGCAAATTAAATTTAAGGGTGGATTACTCGAGAACCAATGCAATAATGCTGCGAGTCAATACAGCAGTAATTCATATTTACAATTTTAGCTTGACCCACTAAACGTGGAGATTCAGATACATCTCTACAAACACAGAGGTTAGTTTTCCTGAAAAGATGAAACACAGGAAGAAATATGGTTATCTACATTCCAGTTTTGTAATCTAATTAATTTTAATTGATTTGCATGAGTGTCTCCACCTTAAGTTAGCATACTCCATGAGGTCTTATGGAGAAACATGAAATAATTTAACAATACAGTTCAATTTGGTTTCTTTTCAAACTTGTGTGCTTTATTGGGTATACAATAAATTAGCAAATTTAAATTACATTTTCATACAGTATTAAGATTAATTAAAAAAGATGATTTTAAATTTACTAGCATAAATACTTGCATAATTATAAAATATTACTCAACCATATTAAGATAATAGTACCTACACTGTGTTACCTTTGAAAAATATTTTGCTGCTGTTTAAAAGAGAAAAAAAAAAAAAAGCCAGAAACATTTAATAAAGAAAAAGCAATAAATGAATTATTTATTTATTTCAGCTATTTCTTCTTTCTTCATCCTGAGTGAAATAAATTATTTCACTTTTCTTGCAGACATTTCTTTCTTTTAAAAATAATCTTAACACTTCAGTCATCAAATGACAACAAAAGGTTTATTTATAATACAGATTGATAATTACGAAGTCAACAGAAAATTGTGCTCACAGTTGATAGTGTCCACTTAACACGCGCGCAACAATTATTCCAAGGACGTTGTGATGACTTTAATCTTACTCAAATACAGATGCACCAGTATAACTGTGTATGTAATACTTAGGAACAGAAAATAACAGCTTCTGGTATATAACAAATTAGAGTAATTAAGAATTACATATGAGGTTTACAAAGATAATAAACTATTAACACCAGACTGCTAATACTGGCAATATGTCTCATTTTTTAACAATAATAATGTGTGTTCCAGGTTAAGACTGTCAACTTATGATGAGATAAGTAAAAATTTTTAATTCATAAATGCTTATACAAACGACTGCAGCAATGAAATAGGAACTTAAATATACCTGCATCATGGAAATAAGTACTGGCACAAACCTTATCCACAAAAATAGTTGTGGTGTTGCTGTGTTGCTAGTGATGCAGGCACAGTCTATTTGGCATAAAAATGTTCTCAAAAGATTTTTCTTTGTTGAAGTTAGCTGACCTGAAAGTTAATGCTGTGGTTCAGAATTAGGCTATCGGCCTGTGTTGTTGTTAGGAATTGCACAAAATTGATGTTTGTTGCTGAGGTCACTACAAATGATTTTGGGCCCCAACTTCTATATGTAATTTATCAATAAGTTAATGATAAATATCCTGAAAAGAATTCTTATCATATATGATAAGACTAGTAGAATATCTATTTGAAATTGTCATTATGTAATAGTCTGCATGATAGTACAAGACCACTAAAATAGTCATGTGATGAAGAGGTATTGTGATATACAAACACTACCAACCTTTCCAGTGCTGTATCGTGCACTGTAATGACATTGAACTCGTTGCAAGTAAGTTTGCAAAGTAATAGTTTAGTACTCACATTATTTTACTATCTCATAACACGTTCAAACATTTTTTCCAATCATAGAGAAATAAGTAATTTCATAAAGAAAAAAATTGCCAGATAAAAAATCTGAGTGAATGTATATTTACCAGCTGCAACAATTCATATAGAAATATTTGTACATTTTTGTAATTGGTTCACATGAATTTCTGAAGAAACTACTTATGGTTAGGCCTATGTAAAATTAATATTTTAGGGCTGAAACTTCATCATAACTCTTCGTATTATGGCACAATAATTCTCAGGTGGCATAATTCGATTATAAGGTATCCACACGCTAATATGAAGTGACTATTGTAAAAAAAAGTTTACGAGATAGGCATCTGCATTATAAAATAAAAAAAAAAGACAACATGGAAGATACCCATGCTTAAGTTCCAATCGGAAGTATCAATTTATGTTTGCGTTTAAAATTTCAATTTTAGTAAAGGCACTTAGACATTCATCCAGAAAAGATTGATAAAAAAAAAAATTACCATACTTCTATGTCATAGCCTCATGCAATGCCATAAAGTATTCATACTGGAAATACTATTGATCAAGAGTCATAACTTCAGCAAGTGTTTGGCAAATTGACTGGACACAGCGTGAAATAGCAAGTTATCACAGTACCTAGAATCAGATGCTGTGATAAAGAAAGTCCTTGAATAAATATAGCAACAGAATGTGTTGTAAGGAAAAATACGGTATAAAAATAGCCAGAGAAGCCAGCTCTTCAATTCAAAGAAGTATAAAGTTGAAGACAGCTGACAGTTAAAGTTAAGAGAAACTTAACAAAAATTAATTTAAATGTCATTTTTTATCTTTTTAAAAAGAGAACGTCTCAGCATTTGTGCTATTAGTATACACTTTGACAAAGGCACCACAAATGTATATTTAGCTCACTGTCCTTCTCAATGTTACTGAACATCAATTATTATGTTTATTGTATCTGCTTCTTAAACAGTGGAACAAAGATATTAATACATGTGCTAAGATTACTTGTGACATCTTCTTTTAATTCTTACTTATTTATTATTGTCTTTAAAGCTAGAATGTTCTGTAACAAGAACATTGCCATATTATCAAAAGTTGTAAGTGTCCAATTTTATATCTAAAATCAAACATGCATTATCTTAATTAGACTTTACTAAAAGTTCTTCTGTATTAACCAACTCCCATATTTATTTTAGACACTGGGATAAATACAATTAAATAAATTATTTGTCAGCTACAGAATGAACCAAAAGAAAGGCTTCATGCTGCAGCATACTGTTGACTGTCTAATTCACAAAGCATTTTTTCTAAAGTTCAATAAAAAGTGTGAAGGCACAGGGTATATTTTATCTATGAGCCACCTTCATTCCTTTAGCTAGTGTAAACCTCTAGGGTATGATTCTGAGATTTTAATCTTTCACTGTCACAACCCCAAAATTGAAATTGCTGATATTATTATTATTTTAATAAAAAGAAGCGCCCAAACCCGACGTGAGTAAACAGTGTTGATAGTGTTCGCCGTTGTTTGCCAAAAAATATATAAATTTTATCTTCTGAAATGGCAACATATCTTCTTTCTGAAGGTAATAGCACAAAAATATGTGAAATTTTAAGGGAAACTCACAGAGTTACACAGGCAATGATGTCGGCTGCCTGGTGCAATTTGTGCAATGGTAGATTTTGCCCATTTGGAGTCATCTTTAAACCCAATTCCAGTGCTCATTCAGCACATTTCTAGCTATTTTGATGTAGTCCTTCATTCAGTTTAGTAAATGCAAGAAAACTGTTATTCTTGATCAGATTAGAAAAGACCACCTAATGAAGTGCATAGTAAGTTGGTAATTTGGCCAACTTTTACATAAAATTCATCAAATTCCAGGTTTAAAAACAGCCAACAATAA